TGCCTTTTTGATCAACGCGGGCTTGTGCATCGTCTTTAAGACATGCGTGTTCCCAGGTTAATAATTAATTGATTGATAATAAAAATATTTTAAAGAGGAATGATATTTGTTTGATTGTTGTTCCGTAACACAACAGATATAAAATAAATGTTTCAAAGGAACATGAGCTTTTTTGAGTTGAATTATATAATATAGCTTTTGCTTTCTAAGTAGTTCCAGACCTTTACTACTGCGCATTTATCTCGCGCATCTCATTTTTGAAGACTAAATAGCAAGGTATTTTCGAAAAAAATAGTATTATTATTATAAGTATTGTCAAAATAATATGTGAAATGAAAACCAAAGCGACTTCTGTTTCAAAAATGTATTGACTTCGATAGTTTTTTCCTTCAGTCAACATAAAATCTCAGCATCCACGAGTTAGTCACATGGGGCATTTGAGTCGACGAGCTGTCAAATACAACTCTTAGCAATTTTAATTCTCTTTTTATTTTCTCCTTCGTACTTTTGTTTCGCAGGCTCTCTACTTCATTGATTGCTCAAGGCTTACGGATTGTTAGAAGACTACTAGGATCTTCGAAGCAGGAAAATAACTCGAACTTTTGTTGCTTCTAAACGGCTGGTGCTTTTAACTATGTTGAAGAGATGTTAGCACGAGCAAAACTCCTAATCTCTTTGTCTTTCAACCATAATAATAATTATATTATAATAAAAATAAAAAGTATTAGGTCACATGACAAGCTTTATATTCTCACAACAATGTTTCAGTGAATAGAACCAGTATTTAGTAATTTTGATATTTTGCATTTAATTGATCGAATTCCCAGAATTAGAAGGCTTATCGTTTTCTCTCTATAGATCCTAACACAGGTAAACGCAAAATCAATCAAATTCTATCCTGTACAAACAGACTGTATCCAATGTCTTATCACAGGTCAACATTATTTTGTCGTCATCATCAAGCCTTCAGTTTCTATAGCTTCATCATCCAATATTATTACTATCAAAGAGGATAACTATAATGTCAAGTTACCTCGTGTTTGCTCGGTACCCAATTGCAGAGATTAACATGTTGATATCATCAGTGGTAAGTTACAGGTTGCTGAAAGTCTCGGGCATTACTGGTCGTATTGAAAGTAATAAAGTACTCATCGTAAAAGCTGGATTTTCAGAAACAAAGCTGTCAGCAACGTCTCGTGCGATCCACCTCTTATTGTATAACAAGAACGGACCTAAATATCTTGACATTTATGCAGTAAGGAGTCATGTTTATGGATTTTTTCTTTTTGCCTGTTTGCTCTGACTTTTACATGTTTTACAATTTGGCGTTTCGTTCAGATCCGGGATCTAAACGTCTAATCGTAAAACGTTGAAAAGTCAGAGACAACAAGTAAAAAGTATCATAAACTGAGTGTTTCCCTCTTCTCTGTAGAAACAACTGAAACCAAAATTCCCTTGCAGCCCCTCCCCTCCCTCTCCCGGACAATAAATAACGTCTGGTCACTAAAACATTCATTATCTAGTCATCGACCTTTAGACCACTCGTGAATAACCACAACATGGAAATCGCTTCAGGCATGAAGGTCTCCATATATTTCACGGAACAACACACAGTCAGTATGAGACACATGAAAATGGATACAAATCAAATAAAGAATCTTATTTTCAAGAGAATGACATGTGATCTGAAATGGGAAAACATTACGCCCAAGCTAAAGAGGTTTGTAGTTTGCACCCGCGAGTTTGCGATTTGAAGTTGGAAGAGCGCGCTGAGAAAACCCAAATCGAGTCACACACGTCACGTGACACTACAAATCGGTCGTAACCAATCACAAAATAGAAACCACAATGTCTTGGTACTTCTTCCAAGTCCAAAATACAGAAAATAGAAGGGACCGCTTTTTTCTCATATGTCAAAGTTCTCTGCATGCTATTTTCTTTGCGCGATACAACTACTTATTGATACGGCTGCAAAAGAAACGAAAACCGCGCCTGTTACAGTTCTCGTGCAGCTTGCAACAATTTTGTTTTGGCGTCAAAATAGCAAACGCTGGACCGAGAGGAGAATGAATAACCCACAACGTCCAACGTATCCTTTTTCGAAAACGAGTTGTTGTGAGGAGCCTGAATATGCGATTGAGTCACTCACTTAATTACTCACTCACTCGCTCAATATGGTAGCAAAACCACAGGTAGCCCATGCTGTGTTTTGAAAAAGTACAAGTAAAAGT